AAAGAGGAAGAAACAAAAATAATTTATTCTCTAGTTTTCTATCCAAGTTTGTTCCAAGGCAAGTAAGAATTTTCTGGCACACCCATCTTCTTTATTAGCTTGCTTTAAATACTCAGTTTCTATTGCCACATAACCCAGAAAAAATGGACTTCTGTATTAAAACATAAAATTAAAATATAAAATTAAAAACTTTTCAAAAGTTCTCTAAGCCACCGATAAAATCTTTCATTTTATCATAACAAGTTAAATACAAAACCAAAAACTGGTCTGGTGGCACTTTATTGACTAATAAAACATGTATTAGTCTATAAAGTGCTACCAGACCAGTTTTCATTTTTTAAGTTTATCCTGTACAGACTAATTCAGCTACACCGTTGAGCTTCGGAAGTTAAATACAAATATCCTTTAATTTCTGACGATCACATGGTAATTTTCTGTCATAGTTACACTTAGCAGAAAGGTTGTTCTATGATTCATCCCGTTGACCTATGGATACTGCACTGTACACACCGGTCGAAGATATGAATTCAGAAACAACTTCTTGACAGATGGGGCTGGCAATGCCACAGAAATAACATGTTTTCAGTTATAACTAGGGATGTAAAATGCCATTTAATCAGTCAACTGACTAAATGTTAAGTTAAACCAGTTTACCAATTAAATGGGATCCCAGGCTGGGGATCACTCCAGTCCACAGCTCTGCCAGCACCCGGCCCTATGCAGCAGTGGGGCTACAGGGACTGCCGCCCACCTCCCTCCCAGCTCTGCTGAAATCCCTAGTTATAACAGTGTAATACCACTACTATGCTGTTGTGACTGAAAGGAGAATCTAATCTATGGCATGTCTACACTACCGGCTGGATCAATGCACAGTGATCGATCCAGCAGTGGGCTCGATAAATCCACCATTGATCATTCTTGTGTTGATGTTGGTATTCCACCAAAATGAGAACCAAGAGGGGAGTCAATAGGAGAGCATCTCCCATCTACACACCGCAGTGAAGATACCATGGTAAGTGGATCTAAATGCGTCAACTTCAGCTGGCCCTATGGACTCCTCGCCACTTTTGCAGATTCAGACTAACACGGCTACCCCTCTGATACTTAACTTCAGCTGGGTTACTCATGCAACTGAAATTGTATAACTCAGTTTGATCCCCCCAGTAATGTAGACCAGCCCTCAGTGTGTTCAATATCTAGTAGCTAGAGTGTGGTCCAATTATATTTCTCCAAGAGCGAGAGAGACAGAGACAGAGAGACAGAGAGAGAAAGAGATTTAAGGGGCAACATTCTCACCTCTGAAAAACAAAAGTACAGAGTTTGTAGCTGTTACTATATGGCAGATAGAAAATATAAATGGCAAGAAAGTTGGGCCACAGAATGAAATCACTAGTATTCATCACAAATGCCTACTGGGACAAGAATTACATTGCTATTATGTAAAATGATATCCACAGACACATTATATTATATTTTCCATCTCTTACCTCAATCAATGTGAACAATCCCAAAGCTAAATAGGATTTCCAATAACAAAGTACGATTGCTTTTGTTAAATGTGGTGTTCTTGCTTCTTTTTTAGCTTTTTGCACCTCTTTATCCCAGTACCTACAAAATAAAGTAAAATGAGACTGGAGGACAAAAAATGTCTAACTTACCAATCAACAGAAACAGACATAATTTGCCAAAGAAGTAGAACAGAGAGTTAGATCTAAGTAGGATTGCCAAATTATTTGGTCAGTTACTCTACATCCTGCACAATCGCATTTCTCTCTAAGGGTACGTCTAGAATGGCTTTTTTTCCGGGATTCCAGAGATACCCCAGAAAAACTCTGCCACGTCTAGGGAACGCATTGGCTCTTCTTTTTTTGAGGAAGAGCAAACACGCTCTTTCGGGGAACCCTGAATACCTCATTCTATGAGGAATAAGGGCTCCACCAAAAGAGGGGGCTTTTCCACCATTTGGCCCCATCTAGACGGGACCTCTTCTGGAAAAGCAACTGGAAATAGTTACAGAAATTGCAGAGCGCAATTTGTGTAGCTTTTTCCAATAAAAGAGTTTAGACTAGACCTAGCGTAAGAACCTAACACTAAAAAATTGATTATTCATTTATGTATTATTTTGCTGTCTCATGAAAGCCTATGTTTGGAATTATGAGCTCATTTTGTTCCTCTTTGCTCCAAAGCACACTGATAATAACAAACCTTGCCTAGCTGCTGATTTACAGAAATGTACAACAAAGTCAGAGCTAGCAAGTCATGGTCTTTGGTTTGTTCTTACCTTGGATCAAACTGAGCCAGCTAATGTAATGCACTGACCTGCAATAATGCAGTGTGGAGATGTTCCACCTCAGAATAATCCCTCTTAGAACTCCAACAAGAACAGAGGAATGTGTCTCCCACAGTTTGTTAGCTTGTTGAAGCACGCTCTCTCATCTTCACCTGGCCATGTACTTTGGGGCAGTAGAATTTTTATTATTGTATTTCCATCCTCAAACTGCCTAGGAGCCCAAGTCATGAAGCAGGATGCCATTGTACCAGGTAGTGCACAAACACAGCACAAAAGACATCTTAGTGCAGGGATGACAATCTAAGTAGACAATACAGCTGCAGAGTGGAGGAAGGAGAATAACGCACGAGCAGGGAAAACAATGTGATGGTGGCACACATTGCACCACCTGTGTTACCTGTGCTTTATCAAGAAGTACTCCTTCCTAAGGCAGGGATTGGGACTGTGATAGACCTTTGCATTGTGTCAGGGATGGGCACCTGAACACAAGCAAGGCATTATCTGTTCAAATCCAAATCAAAAGACAGTAAGAACTCAAGTGAACATTCAGTTAATAAAATACTACCAAGAATACACTAGGGCCACTGTTCAATTCTTGAAGCAGGATTTTTATATAAGGTGCCTCATGCGTTTCTGGAGGCTGAGTACGTCCTGCTGTGCCCTGCTGGTCTGAGAACTAAGAATACACCAAGGTGCCAAATCTGTTACAAGATGGCACATTAACATTGAGCGTGCAGAATAGCTGCCAGAAAGATATTACATTGATTACTCAGACATTTTCTCTAATCCTCAGGAGAGAACGGGGGGAACAGAATGATGATTGAATCCAGAGCCCTGTCAGCTAAAACAGCAGATGCCACAGTGCACGTTGTTGGATTTTGTCAAGTTTCCATATGCCTAGTCCCACAGTGGTGAAAACTGCTTACTTAAGGAAAGAGAAAGTTAAAAATTAAATAAATAAGTGTGAGGTCTTCAAGTCGCCATGTCTGATGAAATGCATCCTAAAATACTTAAACAGCTGACTGAGGAGATATCTGAGCCATTAGCAATTATCTCTGAGAAGCCATGGAAGATAGGAAAGATTCCAGAGACTGAAAGGGGGCAAACATAGTGCCCATCTCTTAAAAGGGAAATAAGGATAACCCATGGAATTACAGACTAGTGAGTTTAACTTCAGGACCTAGAAATATAATGGATCCAATAATTAAGTAATCAATTTGCAAAAACCTAAAAGATAATAAGATAAGTAACAGTCAGCATGGATGTGTCAAGAACAAATTATGTCAAAACAACCTAGTAACTATTTGACAAGGTAACAAGCCTTGTGGATCAGGAAGAAGTGGTAGAATTCTAGTAAGGCTTTTGCTACTGTCTTGCATGACTTTCTCATAAACAAACTAAGGAAATACAATCTAGATAGAGCTACTATAAGATGGGCACAAAGCTGCTCGGAAAACCACTCCCAGAGAGTATTTATTGTTTTTTTCACAGTCAAGCTGAAAAAACATATCAACTGGTATCCTGAAAGAATCACTTCTGGGTCCAGTTCTGTTCAATATCTTCATCAATAATTTTGATAATGGCAAAGAGAGTACACTTATAAACAGGGCTCGACAAATAATGTAATCTACTCGCCATGAACCCAGAAGAGCCAGCGCAGAGTGATCTGTGCATGCACAGAACGATCTGAGCATGCGCAGAATGCAGAACGGTGTGAAACCACGCAGCTGGCGAGCGGGGCTTGCCGCCGCTTGGCAACCCCCGCTTATAAAGTTTGTTAACGATACCAAGTTGGGAGGGACTGCAAGCAGTGTTCTCTTTAAGCTGCACAGCAGCACAGCTTCACAGGTGATTAATCAGCCCTGCCAGTCAGAGTCTCAGGGAAGAGCAACCAAAGGGTATGTCTACACTGCGGACTAAAGTCGAGTTAAGATACACAACTTCAGCTACATTAATTGCGTAGCTGAAGTCAAAGTACCTTCACTCAACTTTTGGTGCTGTCTACACAGCATGAAGTCAAAGGAAGAACACTCTTCCTTCAACTTCCCTTACTTCTCGTGAAATGAGGGTTACAGGAGTCGGAGTAAGAAGACCATGATTTTGAAATTATTTTGAAATAACAGGCTTGATGTTGCACATAACAGAGTGCATTTCAAAATAAGCATGCAGTATAGACATAGCCAAAATGATTAAAGATTTAGAAAGCACGGCCGATGAGGGAAGACTGAAAAATCGCATTTGTGTAGTCTGGAGAAGAGAAGACTGAGAGGGGACTTTATAATTGCTTTCTAGTACATAAAAGTCTGCTACAAGAAAGAGGGAGAAAAATTGTTTCTCTTCTGAGGATAGAACAAGGAACAGTGGGATTAAATTGCAGCAAGGGAGGTTTAGGTTGGACATTAGGAAAAACTTCAATCAGAGTAGTTAAGCACTGGAACAAATTGCCTAGGGAAGCTGTGTAATCTCCATCATTAGAGATGTCTATGAGCAGGTTAGACAGACACTTGTCAGGGATGGTTTAGATGGTGCTTGATCATGCCATGATTGCCAGGGACTAGACTAGATGATTTCTCAAGGTCCCTTCTAGTCCTACGATTCTATGATTCTCAAGTGACTCTTCATGCATGTTGCTAAGTAGAATGGAAAGTGAAAATGAACACATTGATCCGTGGATTCTGCTACATTTCCCACTATATCTATGAAAGCATTTTTCTTGATTTCCTTGAGGAAGAATGCGCAATTATTGTAAGTAACTGGAAAGAGTCATTCTTCTGGTAGAGAGGAGAGGATTTATTGGAACACTCTCCAGTGTACTTAGATTTCCAGAAAGCCTTTGACAAGGTCCCTCACCAAAGCCGCGCGGCATGGGGTCCGAACTAGCTGGCATTTAAAAATGGCGCTGGCTGCCTTTATGCAAATGAAGCCCGGGAAATTCAAATCCCGGGCTTCATTTGCAACTCCGTATGACTACATTACCCCCCCAGTTCGAACTAGGGGGGTAGTGTAGACATACCCACAGAGAATAAGATGGAGAATCTCTTATTGCTTTTATATAAATCCATGGTATACCCACATCTGGAATACTGCGTACAGATGTGGTCTCCTCATCTCAAAAAAGATATACTGACATTAGAAAAGGTTCAGAGAATGTAAATTAAATGAGTAGGGGTTTGGAATGGGTCCCATATGAGGAAAAATTAAAGAGACTAGGATTTTTCAGCTTGGAAAAGAGGAGACTGAGGGGAAGTATGATAGAGGTATATAAAATCATGAGTGGTGTGGAGAAAGTGAATAAGGAAAAGTTATTTACTTGTTTCCATAATATAAGAACAAAAGGCCACCAAATGAAACTAATGGGCAGCAGGTTTAAAACAAATAAAAGGAAGTTCTTCTTCACACAGTACAGTCAATCTGTGGAATTCCTTTCCTGAGGAGGTTGTGAAGGCTAGGACTATAACAGGGTTTAAAAGAGAAGTAGATACATTCATGGAGGCTGACTCCATTAATGGCTGTTAGCCACTAAGGGTAAGGAATGGTGTCCCTAGCTTCTGTTTGTCAGAGGGTGGAGATGGATGGCAGTAGTGAGATCGCTTGATCATTACCAGTTCAGTTCACTCTCTCTGGGACACCTGGCATTGGCCACTGTCAGCAGACAAGTTACTGGGCTAGATGGACCTTTGGTCTGACCCAGTATGGCCGTTCTTGTGTTCTTATTTATTGGAACACTGGTTGTTTCAACTCATTGTGCAATAAAAACTTCTCTCTTATACGTACAGAGGTATTGATGAGGCACCTGTAGGAGCCTTGAGAAAGAAAATTACTTGATGAACTGCCATTCTCTTAAAACAGGGGTAAGGAACAGCAGGGGGAGCCCTGAACATCACAGGCCTGACCAATACACATTGTGGGCCAGCTGAGAACCATGGGCTCTCCCTGGAAGGGGGAAGGAAGTGGCTCTGCACGCTGAAGGGTAGACCTCCCTACAAGCACAGCCCACTATCACTCCTGCTGTGGGAGGGGTGGGGAGGGAAGGGAGCAGTGCCTGCAGGAAGACACCTGCTTCCCCCAGGGAGCTGCACCATGTAGGCACCCCAATGCCCTATCTCCTCCCACATCCCCCTCCCATCCATACCCCTTCCCATATGCCCCTACAGCCCAGACCCTGCAGCTCCACCCCCATCCTGCTCCTACACCTTCCCTCCCTTCAAGGCCCCGGACTCAGTTTCTATACCCTACCTCTTACCTGGACCCCCAGATCCATCCTGCACCCTACCTTCTGCCTGGTCCCAGCATCCCCATCGTACTCATGCACCCTTCCTCCCTTCCAGACGCTGCACTCCTACCCCCAGTGTGCTCCAGCATCCTCCCTCCCTTCAAAACATTCCCTCCCCTCTTGCCCATTCCTGCACTCTACCTTCTGCCCAAAACCTCCACCCCCAGCCCACCCCCGCACCCTGCCTTTTGCCCAGATCCTGCACCCCTACCCCCAGCCCACTCCCTGGCCGTACCCTTGTGCACACTGAAACCCTCATTACTGACCCCGACCCAGAGCCTAGGGTCCCCCACAAAATCTGCTAGCTCCAGGCCCCAAAAAGAGTTAATCTGCCCTGAGAGGTAAGCCCTGAGACTCAGCAACTTGCTCCCCCTAACCTCAGTTAGGGCTGGAGCTTGAGGGGAGTAAGGTATTTCTCAATTATTGAGGAGTTTTTGTTTGGTTGGTTTTTTGCTTCTCACTTGTGTATTGCCCCTGATCGATTTTTTTTGTGGGTCAATGGTCCCCAACCCAAAAAAAGTTCCCTGTCCCAATTAAAACATGTTACAATAATGACACATTCTTGATACACAATCCCAGTATATTTCTGGAACAGACTCTCTTGACCTTTAAGCCTGCCTTGAAAAAGGATATTTATATCTACGCTTGGAAGGATTACATTAGTAAATGTCAGTAAACAATCGATTTCATCCTACACACACAATTCAGCAAAAGACATTTCCATTGACAGTAACAGAAATTTACAGATAGGTAGTGTAAGAAAAATGCTGTTTGATTTAGGTATGTTTACTTTCTATACTTACATATGTGACCGATCATTTGTGTTTTAAAAATTATAAATCTTTAACATTTTGAATTTCAGAGTCTGTCACTAAATAACTAGTGTCTGAGTCCTCCTATTGTCTGATTCTCCCATGACTTCCCACACTTGTGAAAATTTAAAATTAATACAAAATACGAAAAGCTTAAAACCCATTATTTTGCATGACTGAAAATTTAAATTGATAAAATAAAAAGTGTTTAAAAACAAACATTAACATAAGTTATATAAAAATCAGGTTCAGACAACTCTATTTATATCACTGGGCCTACATCAATGCAAAAAATCCTAGTGTACATACGCCCTTAGCTGTCTAGGGCAGCTAACCCTCTCAACCAATCAGCAGCATATTCTACCTACACTAAGGAAATGTTGTTGCTCCTACTCACTCAGTGGGTTTTTTGCTCTGTATGTCAAGAAAAAAAAAGTAGAAAACACAACCATTTTTCCCTGTCTCTATAAGGAGAGTATGTGGCACAATATATCTTTAGCACAGCATAGAAAATCCTATTGCTTTATTAAGAAATAATTGTTAGAATGTCAGAGTGCATTATCTTCAGTCCCATGCATTTTGTAGTGCCATTCAAATGAAGTGTCTTCAAAGAAAAGCTAATAATGCAAATCTTTTTATATGTTTTCATTAAAAATGACTACGCTTGCATGGAAAACAAGGACTTCCAGTGTGAAATAAAATAAAACACTCAGTAACAAAATAGCTAAGGAGACTCAGTGACGCTGCATGGCCTCTCTTCATCCCACAGCACTCACCTTCACACAGAAAACATAGCTGTATGAAGTGCTGATTTTTTACTTACCATTGCAACTCTTCTCCAAGCCTCTCTGATGAATCTTCAGCCAGCACTTTATACATATCATCTTCTTCAAGCTTTCGTTTATGACCAGTAACAAGTAAGGGGTTCAGCCACCTATTTAAATATAAGACAAAAACTGTTATATTTAGACAATGGAGCAAAAAGTGTAATTGACTTATGTATTAAATGGATTTCTCAGTACATGTTGAACCTCTCTCATCCAGGACTCTCTGATCCAGCAACATCCATGGTTTGGCAGGACCACAGATGTTGCTAGACCAAAGACCCCAACCACAGAGTTGAGAACAGCTGGGAGCAGAGCCAGTCTGGAGGGTGGCAGCCTACAGGGCCAGTGACCTGGGGACAGAGAGACCCAGAACAGGTTGCCACCCCGCAGTGGACAGGGGCAGGAGTGGCTACCACCCAGCATGGGACTGGGCAGTGGGGGCAGGGAGCCCCAGGAGTGATTGCCGCCTTGTGCGGAATCAGGTGCCCCCATCAGGACCAGCTGTTGTTTTGCGTGGAACCTGGTAGAGCAGGGAGCCCCAGAAGCAGCTGCCGCTTTGCACGGGCACAGGGACAGGGACAGGGACAGGGAGCAGAGCCCCGTGAGCAGGCTGAAGGAAGCAGAACGAGGTGGGCCAGAGGACGTCAGGCCATCAGGTTTTCTGGGGGCAGCATCCAGGAGGGGAGCCCCAGGAGAGTTGGGAGGCTTGACCTCCTCTGATCCAGCAAATTCCTTTGCTCAGGACCACTCAGATCCCAAGGGTACCAGACCAGGAAGGTCCAACTTGTACTTAGAAGCCTCCCCCAATTTATTACTGTGGTAACTCAGCAGTTCACAGTTTTTACCATATTTATCGTCACAACCCCTGAGTGATTTCAAGATAGGGAACTGAGAGACAGAGAGACTCAGGGTACATCTACATTGAAATAAGACACCTCTGGCTTGCCATAGAGGCCGAATGGGTGAGAGAATTTTAAGGACAGTATGTGCTGACAGAAGCAATCCCTCTATCAAAGGATGTGAGGCTCGGTGACTATACACTTCTCCCCAAATATTGGAGATCAGATATGATGATTTCTCCACAAAAATAAGGAATATCTAAACTCATAGAAGGCTATCACATCTGTCAGTGGTGATGATACTTATATGTCCCCCACATTTTCAGTCTTTACTTCTGAGTCAGACTGACAATTCCCATTTGGATACTATTTCACCTGTACCTATAGGTGGCTGGTTCTGAGTAAGCTGCACTGTCTGGTCTCTATCTGTGGGATCTGACAACTGCATGTTTTCCTGATACTCTCTTGCCGAGAGTCTATCTACATACATCTGTCTTTCCCGATAAGGTGCCAGTGAGGCCACTTTACCCAAGGAGATACATGCCGCTCAGGCCAAAACCCAATAGATGGACCTGGCTGGAAAGATCTCTTTACCCATGGAATCAGAGGGCAGTTCTGATCTGCAATTGGCATCTCTCTACTGGCCCCAATCTATTTGTGGCTCAGATGAGACCAGAGCCAACAACCTCCTTGTAAAACAGAGGAGAGAGAATTTCTTCTCCGGAGGTTCCAAAGGGGTCAGCAGAAGAGACAGAAGGAGAGCTCCCGATCCTTTTCTCTGCTTTGTTGTCTCTCAGAGAAGTAGTGAGCCTGACTGGCTGTAGTAACAGGCCTCACATGAACTAGGGATGTGAATGGTTAACCACTAAGCATCACCCTTACCGGGTGATACTTACCAGTCATGGTTAACTGGCGGGGTCCTGCCAGAGCAGCCCCATTTGCAGCAGGACCAGCCTGGCACACTGTGTGCAGGGGGTACTCCAACCTAGCCAGAGCAGTCCCTGTCCACAGTA